GGGGGGGGGGGTTAAGGGGTTATAACTCCCACTCCAAATTTATCTCCGATGTCTAGGTTAAAATTTACAAATTTTAAAAGTTTGAAATATGCAGAGCTAGTATTGAATACCTAGTATCATTGATTATAGAATAGTCTATTCTGTTATCAATGCAATTATTTAAGTCAAAATATATTAAGGATTTGCATAATTTTGTTAATTGTAAAATGTGTTATATTTTTACTTTGACCCCCACCCCTCCGAAAAAATCCTGTGTGCGTCACTGGTAGCAAATAGCTAATAAATTTAATAAATATTAAGTCTGTACATTCATATTAGTTATAAGTTTGGTAATTAAACCTGTTATTTTATACATAATTTATAAGTAAATAATTTTAAAATATTATAATTATATGATATACCAGAAAAAGCATTTGGTGTTAATAATTAAAAAAAAATATATTAAATATTTTGATGGAAATATTTAAATTAAAGGTTATTGACACATATATAAATTCGTTTTAAATTTTTGATCATCACTTTTTTAACAATTTAAATTCTTTAATTCAATAACAGGTACATTTCATTATTAAAATATGATATTATATGCAAATAAATCAACCTATAAAGGGATTAGTTTCAAATACCTTTCTTTGATAAATGTTGCACAAGCATTTCGCACCCATTTCAACTGCAAAAACGAAGCACCAATTAATAATGATTGAACATTATTGACATTTATTGAAATACGTCCACTATATGCAAAATTGATTAATGCTTCTAGCGCTCTAAACATAATAAAAAAAATTATTTAAAAATATAAATTTAATTGTATTATACTTTAAATTTAATTATGATTTAAATAAGAACAATATTAAATTTTATAAGTTGTTAACTAAAGAATATTTTAATATGAATTTTTAGTTTTAATTACTTTTCATGATGAAAACATTAAATAAATAAAACATTGCTAAACATTTGGTAAGAAAAATAATGTAATTATTAAAAGATTACATTTTTTTAATTAAAATATTTTTTTAAAACTATAATTAAAAAAATTAAATAATGCATCAACATGAAATAATGTACTTAATTTATAAGAAAAAAAAATAAAAAAATACAAAATTTTACTCTGGTTCGATTCCATGCATTACAATTTCTTTCTGAGTGCTTTCAATCATATCATGTGTAAACATAGCATTAAAATAAGGCACAGTAGCTGCCAATACTATGCGGTGAGCACTGAATGACATATTTTCCACCTAAGTAAAAAAATGATAAAATTAATAGTTTTATATGATTTTAATGAAAAACCTTATAAAACCATAATAGGTTTGTATTTACTTTCAATGTGACGTCACACAGTTTTCCCATTCGACGTATACCTTCGATTGCAGAAAAACTATTGGAAAAAAGATCGGCTTGTTGATACACAAAGTACTCGTTTTCAATGGACGATGATCTTGGAAACGGTATATTTATTGATGAATGAAATTTGGACGGATTAAAATTCATCTCGATTGTAGCTGCCATATCAAAAATATTTAGAAGATAGTTAACTACGTGAAACGATTTATTTCACAACTTAAGAAACACTCAATGTTGGACATTTTTTTTTTAAATTAAAAATATATTTTTATTGTACGACCGAACAGCAAAAAACAAATATCATATTAAAAGCAAAACTTAACAGACATGATTTAAGACTACTGTGGTAAATGAAAAAAATTAAACAATAATATAACTAAAATACGATCATCACTTTTTACAATAAAATACCAAAAATACAAGTCTTACGCACTATGTACACATTACGGTGGGCTTATCAATGTCGTTGCTTGTGTTCCGACCACAGATATCTATAATATAGATATCTGTGGTTTCGACGGTTTGTTATCAGTATCATAACAGATGGTCGTTGAACCCTTAGATCATATTTTCTTATTTATAACGGTAAAAAACCGAAATTAAATATAATAATTTTTTAAGATAACACTAAGCTTGATACATTGTCACAGAACTTTTTAGTTATAAAACGACAGTATTAAAATATCATAAATACTAAATGGACTCAATTATTATATTCTCTATTCCACCAACTATTTCATAATAGGAATCAGCGCACCACGATGACGACCTTTATGACGGTATTTATAATGTATAGTTATACCTAGAGCGCGGATTTGTATGCACTTAAAAGTATTGAAATATGCCATATAATATGCAGTTTTTTATTTATTTATAATGTATAATTCAACATAAAATAATTAATTACTTAAATACTTAATACAAAAAAATTTTGGGAATTTTCTGAACTTAATTTATTTTTAAAATTTTATTTATTATTAAAATGAATAATCATATGCATTTCAAGTTTATCTTTTGTGAAGCTGTGTCGTTTATCGGTTAACATATTTTTAAAGACTGAAAGTGAACATTTGATGTCAACTGAAGTTATTGGGGCATATTTGAAGCAAGTGGTATGTCGATAACCGACTGACGCAGCAAGAGCGATTAAGTTTACGTTGTAATCGATTACTTATTTTATAATTAAATAAATATATAAATTATTATTTAGTGACTATGAAATTTATTTTTAATTTTTCTACTTGACAAAATATTATTTTATACATTTTTTTTTAAATTTTCACTTCAATATGCAATAATCTCTAAATATGC